GGCAACCAGTCGATGTGTCTCTCTCACATTGATGTTTCTCTCTCTCTCTTCCCCCCTCTCTCCCTCCTGCTCTATCTGAAGATAAATGCAAATGTGTCCTCTGGTGATGATAAAAATAAATAAATAAATAAATAAACAAATAAATAAAGTGGGCTCTATGGTACTTGGTAAATTGTAAATATCAACTTATAATTTTATTGATACCTTTCTGGGAGTCTCTATGTGTATCTTTATTCTTTTCATAATGCGAATAACTGTTGAAGTTTTAAGAATAGCAACTATTCTGCCTGATCTTTTATGATGGCTTGCTGAATGGGATGTGTACAGATGCTGGTAACATGGCTGAACCAAATGGTTGTTTGTACTCTCAGTGTTTGCTTAGGAACCCATATACCATAAATTATTTGGAAAACCAGTTTTAAAAGCAATCTATGAGCCCTTTATACTGTTTGACTGTTATTACTTAGAGGAAACCTTTATTGAATCCTTTGAATGTGAAATATGATAATGTTAACTATATCTAAAATTTATATTAATTCTGATATTTCTTTATGTATATTCAAGGATGGTCTGTATACTTAAAAAAGATCCATAACTACTTTGAGATATATTTGTATTTTGTATTTATAAGCAAAACAAAATTAAATTAGTAAACCTTTTCCCTCTTACCATTCTCGCAGGCTAGTCATGTGAACTGAAATACTGATAAGGAGCATATGTGGTTCTAATTTCTGAAGTCAACATCAGATGTTGTTTTCAAGTTTTGCTCTTTTTTAAAATTTAACTTTCATGAAGCCATCTCAGCCCAAGGGGGAAAAAAATCACTGCAGACTAAAATTTTGAATTTTATATTTTAACTAGTAAGCCATACTTATGGGGAACATCAGTGATTGATCCATAATGACCAGAGACCTTTCAATATAAATATATTGTCTGCAAAACTAATATATTGTCAAATCCTTTTAACCTAGAATATGGAATGAGACGGTTGCCCAAGTAGAAACACCATGTTGCTTACGAAGGCCCCCACTCACTGCCAGGGTAGAGAGAGGACCTTGGGAAGTATTTGCGTCAAGGAGCCTTGTGGGACCTTCAGTTTTGCTGTCTGCGTTTGCTTTAAAAGCTTGTGCTGGGGACAACAGTGAGTCATATGTCACCCCTGAGTATGGGGAAATTCCAGCCATTCATAATGTTAAAAAATATTTAAAATCATTTCCAAGTTGTTGCCCAAAGGTCTTTTTCGGGCTCTTTGTAATTAAAAGGAAATATAACTCTGACCACTGCAGATAGGCTATTAGTCAAACAGAATTACCAAATGCTGAAACACCATGGTTATATTTCCAAAGCAATGGGACAAACCCATGATTTAGTACTGTCACTCTTCTTTAAAGTAAGTTTTATGGATATGGATATTTATCTGTTTATGTTGATATGATATTTAGTAAGTTCTATTTTATTTGAATATAAAAAAGATAAGACTTGTGAATAGGGTAGTATATAAACTAAAAGAGCATCTATTCACTTATTAATTCAACAAACATGTATTGAGGGCTTAAGGTATACCAGACATGCAGAAATGGAAATCTAACATATACATATATATATAGTATATGTATGTATATATATATAATGTAATATATGTAATATACAAATATATGTAATATACAAATATATATATGTAAAACTCAGAATCCATAAAGAGAAGCAAGAATAAATCAATTACAATAATATATCATAAAACCTCAGAGTATTGAACAAACTTGGGAATCCTCACTCAGAAGTCCCACCTGTACCCCAATAACCCGTGTAAAATTACAGAAATTATTTCTACCCTGAAGTATTTCTACACTTCTGTTAATCGTACTTCCATTCCATCAGTTCCTGAGGCCTCAGACATCAAACAATCAACTCTTTTCCTTTGCCTCCCATAACGGTTCCATTTAGTTTGCTTTACAAATACCTTGACATCTTCTCTTTTCTATTCTCACTCTCCCCTTCTATTACCTCTCCTCTTACTTTTTACTTGGCATATTGCAAAGTCACCTATCAGATTTCACTTGTCTTCTATTTTTTTCCTTTCTCATTTAGATGATTTCTCATGTTAAATGATTCTTCCTAAAGAAGAATACTAATTACATTACCACGTTTTTCAGGAGTCCTTAATGTCTCCCTAGTCCTTGTCTAATTAAGAAAAAGCTCCCCACTCTGTCATATATGCCTACCACAATAACCCTGATCCCACTAAGCAATTGATATAATTATATTTATGCCCAAATTACAATAGTGATCAGCTACCTCCTGCAGAGAATATTCTTAAACTTCTGGTTCTGATATTCTCATTTTGTTTTGGATTTTTGAAAGAGAGAGAGAGAGAAGAAGAAAGAGAAAGAAAGAAAGAAAGAAAGAAAGAAAGAAAGAAAGAAAGAAAGAAAGAAAGAGAGAGAAAAGGAAATGAGAAAGAGAGAAAGAAAGTTGTTTTTAACTTGTGTATTGGGATTTTCTGAAGACTCTTGCATTCCTTTGTATTCCAATAACAATGACACAGGCTTTCTTCTGCCTCTTTGATTATGTATTTTTGGGGGGTCTATTTTAAATTCTTGATTGTGAGAACCAAGAGAATGGAACTGACAAGTCAGAGTGTTCTTAGGCAGTTGGAAACCAGACTTTTCCTGAGTCTATAAGTGGATGGGGAAGATGGCAATAGTCATAAGTTAATCATTTTGGTCCCAGTCACACTCATTTGCCAGCTGTAGTCACCACTTGGCATCCTCCAACATCTCCCTTCCTGGATTCCACTTGTCAACGCCTGCTGCATGAAAAGCTCATTGAAGGAGCCTGACCACTGTTCCATCATGAGAACATCAACACGTGTGCCAAGAGCTAGCTCCTCAGGCTAATGCCTGCACCTCACCCTCCAGACGAATGAAACCATAGGCTCTTCCCCAGACATACTCTGATTTCTTCTCCATGTCTTCCCACTTCCTGAAATGCTATCTTCTGATTTCTGTCTTTTGCAGCTGTCATTCAAGTTTGACTATCTCATGCCAGCTGTTATCCGATGCTTTCCCCAATTTCTTGAAAAGACTATCATTGTCTGTGCAAAAAAGGATTCCTGATTACCTTGAATAATATGCATACTTCAAGACTAATTTACTCATATGAATAAAAAATGGTGAAAATACTTCTATTTATCAGCCAACATGAGACTTCCACATGGCAACAGCATAAAGAGAATAACTTACTTCATCTTCATACCTTGAAAATGTGTAATTTCTAGCAAAATGTAAGCATTTTGAGAGATATACATTATTTGAAAACCTATGCATAAACCTATGGAATACCATAACCAACTCAGTGGTGATCTAACTGAATTATAGGCATAAGAGGTAAATCTACATGACGTAAAAGTACTTAGTAAAAAAGGGTAATTTAATGATTTTTATCTAGAGCAAACATCAATGACTATTTTTCTTATGTGAGACTATTGTTTTGAGACTCTCACTGTGCTGTGTTCAGGAAGGTCTGGAAAAATCTTATATAACTCGTACTCCAACTGGGGCCTTTCCCTGCCCTTGAAGGGTTACAACTTGACTCAAAGCTCTTATAATTTAAAGCTTATTTCCTCTTCCTTCTGTCCACTTCACCTCTCCATTGGAGCTGTCCCAGCTGCTCTCTTTGTCACCTCTTTTAATGACTAAATAAACAAGTGAGTAAATTTATTAATTAATCTACACAAACTGAAGTAGGCTTGGATTCTGTAACTTTATTGAAGATACTGATGAAAGGAGCTCTCACTGGCTTTTGTTCTTTTTCTCCTCTCCTCCCATCTTCCTTTACTTTTCACCCCTTTCTATACCTCTCTGATATAACCAGGACATTCCTCCACTTTGTCTTGCAGAATGGTTTGAAAATCAGTCTTACTTGTACCTTTAACTCCAAGTATATATTAAATTTTTTTCTGAAGTCTTTCCACAACTTTCCTGATGGGAATTCTGGTCAACACATTTTTGTTGTGCTTTTTTGTACTATGGCGGATTAGATATCAGGACTTAATCATATTGATGGTATTGACATACATTATATGTAGTGACAAGAAGATATCATCATTTTTAATTTTTAAGCTTGTAAGAGGAACAAATCATGTCTATTGGGCTTGATTGTATGGTATCTAATCCAGTACCATAAAATAAAAATTTGTTTTTTTTTTATTTTGCAATAAAAGCAATGCCACTGGCAGAAATTAATGATAATTCAAATATCAGACACATATAGTAGTTACTTCAGTGAATGTGATCCATATTCCAGAGATTGTCCATGGTACGATTAAGCTAAGCAACGTGTTAGGATACAGTTTAAAACATGAGGGAAATATATGTTAAAAGCTTCTAGAAGAGTGAGACAGTAAGTCAAAGTACATAGATGACCTCTTTGGGCTGTTATTAAAGTTATATTTATCACTAGATTCCTTAATAAGACGATAGTGAAACATTTCAATGGGCATATTTTTCCTCTGAAAGGAAGGACGGAAGGTGTTAGATATTTGATGTGCCAGAAAATTCCAAAGCCTCCCAACTATATGGCCAACCTCAGAGGAAAATGGCCCTAAAATTACTTCCAATTGCTGAATATAATGGATAAGATTTTCTAACTAAATTTTGGAATTTGAAAAAAAAATCCTGAGTCTTTATTTTGTATCTAAAAAGGAGGAATCATATAGAAAAGGACTGAAAAAGAGTCTACATTCATCTCAAGAAACACAAAATTTTTCTTCATTCAATAATTGATAAAAAAGAACATATAAAATTTATTAGTGGTACCAGAGAAAGAGGACAATATATTAGTTATGATGACATACAATAACCAAAATAAAGGCTGTTTTCTACTTTGAACAAAAGACTTACTATTTTAATGGCTGTAGCAAGTGTATGAATTTTAAAAAATGGTGTAAACAATAACAAGCTTTTTGATTGCTTTTGCAGTGATTATTTTTGGAGTGGTTATCGATCCAAATGCTAGCCGCTGACTGGTGTCTCCACATGCCCAACACTTCTACGCCATTTTTGTAGCTGAGGCTTCATGAGTGCCTGTGGGGATAGTCAGGTTGGTGGCATTTACCAAGAAACATTTATTATTTACACATTTGTTTTGACTTGAAAAACTTTCAGCTTGGGATTTAGTCCTGAGCTCGTGGGCCAACCACATCTGTTTACCCCTGTCTCATGCCTAGTGTTTGTACCTAACTTCTGCTTTAGGAACAGGAGTCAACTTTCACAGAGACTTACAGATCCAGAGTGGGAAGATACATAATGAACTGTAGTGGAATCAAAGTCAGGAGATCAAAAAGACTGTTCTTCACGTTCTCCTAGTTTCCTCCTGGGGTGCAGCTCACTTTCTGTTTTTTCAGCTTTGGCTGCTGCTGACCTTCCCCACGGCATCTATATTTTTTCTTCAATAAAGTGAAATGGCCACATTATTGTGACTCCTGAGACCTCTTACTCTTTCACTTGAGATGAGTTAACAGACAAATCCACTTCATAAATTTCTCGTTATTTGTATTGTATGGATCCTTTGAAAAGAGGAAACTAGTATTTAAATACTAGTATTTAGATACTCCATAACCTAGATAACTTAGACGATTATCAACCACTGGGTTTTCCTTTGGAAGTCAAATTTTGAATGAATTTTATTAATGAAAATTTGTCAAATAAAACAATCTAATACACTATATGTACCCATCTATGTGCACATACGCGTGGATGTTCAAATGTAGATAGATCTGATATTTGCAGTGCCCGAATCGTTTATCTCTGGAAGACATAAAATTCATGAAGAGTTCCATTTCAAAAGTAAGCTCAACTTTCTGGTAAACATTTCTTCACACTCCCCACCCCCCCTTTTTTTTTATAGTTTCATCCATTAACCTCAAAATTGAACATTTCTTTCCAGGCCAAGGTGAAGAAATTATTTTGGAGTGGCTGTGCCTTATGGCACATTTAAAGTGATTGTGTCAAGGACCAGTTTATAAAGAGACTCTGAAATGATGAGGAAAGATCATACTGACGACTTCTGTTGGAAGACAAGCACAGGCACCTGCTGGCCCGCACATGACTTTGTAAGGTACACAGTGGAAGGAGCAAGGGGTCGAGGTCAAACAGACCAGTGTTGCAACCTGGCACTGTCACCTTGGGCATGTCACTGAGCCACTCCCTGAAATCTCCTGCAAAAGAATTGCTTTACAGTTTAGAGATAATATACCGAAAGGTCTAGCAAAAGGTGCTTGGCACAGAGTAGATAGGATTGTTTTTATAGGTTCAAAGATTGCATCTCCCAAGCCACTTTTAAGAGCAGATGATTAATACTGTGTTAGAAGACAAGAACAAGAACCCACTATACAGAGTTGGGCTGTAGTTCCCAGCCTGCATTTATTTATGTTATTGTGTAGCTAGTGAGCTGTGTATATTAGAATTCTTTTCTTAATGGTGTTCCTGTTTATCAAGGAAAAAAATAGTATTTACAACTACTGCCCTTTCGCCCGTTAGGATACTAGAAAAGTTACAACCGTCAACATTTGCTAGCTTTTGAAGATTCTGAAAAGAAAGATGCTAAACATTAATTATACACAGTTACAAAATAAACTCCTTGATGGAAAAGTTTTTCAAAAAATGAATTAGAAGGGGGAGGAAATTAACAGCAGAAAGGAAACTTTATATTTTGGCGAGCTCTGAAACATGGAAACATTATTCTTTCATGGTTTTCCATGAATTTGAATCTTTTGACAGTTTCTCAATTATAGCTTGTAACTGTGGGCTTCAAAGCAATTCTGCAGTTCACTTCACCTCAGCCAGTCAGTCAATAATGTTTATTGAATTCCCATGGCGTGAAGGGCCCATTTCCATTTTCCTCAGCACTGGTGCCTTGATCTAGAGTCTGTCATTCAGCCAGACCTGCTAATGGTCTCTCACTTTGAGTCCGCCCCAACAGTGCTTACCCGAGACCCTCTGAAGCTGGAGCTGACCTCCTCCCATCTGCACACACTACACCGTGTCTCTTCCTGCCCGTACCAGATGAAAACCCTTTGGGCCGGAAGCTTCCCCAGATTAATACCAGACCCTTAATCTCATCCTACCTCCTACCCAATGCCGCTCAACTTTATTTTATAAATATGTGTATTGTTTGCGCTGAACTGAACCCAACTATAATCTCTATAAGTTTAAGTCTGAGGCTTAATTATAGGATCACAGGGTATTCAAGTTCAAAGGAGTTTTTAAGGTTTAGCCCAATTATCTTATTTTTCAGATGAAAATAAATCAAAACTCAGATCCAGTAAGGGAAAATTACTTGTCACAGGATATTGAAACTGCAGTAGGCTTTGGAGTCCAGAAAAAAAACCCAGGGATGCTTCCTGGCTCCACAAATTGTTTGTTGTTAGTACTTGAGCAGGTCATTGACCCCTCTGTGCCTTATTTTACTTTAATCTGTAAGTGGGGGTTTACTAGTTACTGTAGCATTACTGACCGTTTTAGAAATGCACATGAAATGCCTGGCAAATTTGAGATGTTCAATAACAATGACCGTTCTTCTCCAAGGTCACAGCTGATCAATGGCAGCCCCACACTGGAACCCAGAACTCCCGAGTCCCCGTTCAGTGCTTACTCTTCCTTGATGCTTATTTCCAAAGAAGTACCACTCTGCTGATGAGGGCATTTCATAAACATCTCTTGGGGATGGTAATTTCCTAGACAGATTGGAATTTTTTTGAGACAGGCAGGTAAGAGAAATTTTGTTATTTTTTTTCTTGCCTTGGGGAAAGATTTCATCAGTAAAGTAGCAATAAAAACGTTCCCTCTATTAGTGGAAATGATTAACACTCCTTTAGTTAGGCAATATTTTCCCACCCGGCCTCACACACACCAAGCCACACGGATGGGGGATCAGAAACCCTAAGAAAACAGCAACAAATTGGTTTGGTGAGTGGATGTGGTTGGAAATCTTTCATCTGGTTTGTCTCAACAGATTGTGAAGTTATATGGGTTTTGAATGAAGTTGAAAATCCAAGCAAACCGTATGAATATTAAGCCACAGGTAATCAAAGCTTGGAGAATCTGATGAAAAATGAACCACTGCAAACTAGAACCTGAGGACATTACCACGCCTCCTTCCCTGAAAGCCACTTTTGGGCAGGGAGAAACATTGAGCTCGTTGTGGGAGAGGAATATGTAGCCTTTCTAATTAATTATCACCTTAGTGTTTATTTTTCAATGAATCATGGGCTGGAATGGCGACAGCACAGGCAGCTCAGAAATTCAGGCAGGAAGGAGAGAGCCGGGATTACACGGCGACATGAGAGGTGTCCGCCCTGGCTGTCCCTCCCGAACACAGCCTTGCCACGGGTAGAAGAGTTTGCTTAAGCTTAAGTACTTCCACAGCCCGCAGGTTTGTCCTGCCAAATACGCCCTTCGTGTATTTGCGGTGCTTGCTTCACAATGATAGTTCCAGATGGAAGGCTGAGGAAGGGTGGATAAATTAGGACAGAAGTGATGCACATTGTCCACTTCCTTGGTCTTAGTCGTAAAGACAACCATCCATCATACCCACCAGGCCCAGCTTTCGCTTGTCCTAGAAGTAAGACTTTTCCCATCAGAGCAAGCATCTGAGATGCAGCACCTGACTTGCTCTGTTTCAGGCAGACCGGTGGGTGAAGCTGCTGGGGGTGAGATGGTGCAGGACGAAGAAGCGTCTATTGTGAGTCCCAGCATGGCGAATCGAAACGTTCCCCTTGCCTCGTCCGTTCTCCAGCCGTCTTCAAAGGGTCTAGCCCTATGGAACCTTTTAGGCTGAGTAAACCCACATGTTTTTTTGATTTGGTGATTTGGCAAAGGAGCACAGGACCTCTTAAAAATCGAGGGAACTGTGTTTTGAAGCTGCTTTGTCAGAGGCTGTTTTCCTAAGGCTCTGTGTGCCGACCAGACTTCGGCCTCCCTCTGCCTTTCAAAAGATCTAAACTTGTTTTTGAAATTTAGAGAAGGAAGATCCAACCTGAACATTTTAGCTGCCAGATTTAATTATAATTAATGTTTATAATTCATAGTATAATAAGTTTGCACGTATAAAAGATCACTTTATAAATAAAAGATCACTTTAATTACAAATGCTTGTGAACAGGACATCATGTGGATGACTTACAGCTCTATGTTTAGTTCAAAAGTGTAACTATTCTGAGAAAGAAAAAGTAGGCCATTTATGTCTCTAGTTAAAAATCATTATGCTAACTTAACTGATTTAACTTTATGTGAATTTTAAAAAAAATCATCATGCTGAACTAGTTAATGTAATCTTGAATCATTTTATATAAAGCAATAGATAATAGCAGGTTTAAACTTAAATTCTAATTGAGAGCAGAGAGTAGGGGAGGAACTACTGATGATCCTGGAGAGGCAGGGGTCTTGGGGAGATAGGGTGGCATCACAGGGACCCCGTCCAGTGTTAGCCAAGCAATGAAAGTATGTAGCTAATTCCAGTGTCTTGGTAACCAGAGCAGTGTCTTTCATGCTGAGCATGGTAGCACTGAAGCGACTCACCAAACTGCCAAACTCTGGCAGGGGTTGGCATCAAAGTCCTTTTGAACACAAACGCAGGTACAGTGCGCGTTGAAAACAGATTCTGTTTAGACTGGGTGGCAAATGCAGAAACTGAAGGGAACAGTATGTAACAGCAGTCACTAGCACCGAGGCACTGCACACTGGCAAGTGGAGGGTTGTGGAAGGACCAGAGTGCTCCCAGCTGCCCTGTTCAGTTACTCAGCTAAGGAGTTCTGGACTTGAAACCGAGAATGTGTTCATGCTTTCCTAGATGAGTTTAAAGTTCTATTAACGTTGCTAGGCATTCGTTTTAAGACGGTGGGTTGAGAACATGCTTTAGTGTTTCACTCTATGTTATTCAAGGATTATTAAAAAACAAAAAAACAAAAAAACTCAAGCCATTCCAGGCATTTAAATGAAAGGAATTTGATATAGGAGGTTGGTTACTACATGATGGAAATGTAGAGAAGGGAAACAGGAGACAGTGATCAAAATAAAAGGTATACAAAAGCAAGAAGCCACTATCTCTGAGCTTGGGTAACAGCGCTCAGAAGGCAGGGCCACTCAGCTGTGGGTCTAGCCTTGGCCTGGGATCCTAAAAAAGCCATTGCTAGAGGTGCCCAGAGAAACAGAGAGAAGGGGGAGAAACACCCTGGCTTTTCCCTCCACCAATCTTCTAGTTGCTGGCCAGTGTCTCTCATTAGCTAACTGACCTGGAAGAAGACAAGGGGACCTAGACATTGTGGGCCCTGGGACAGGAAGCAGACAGGTGGAAAAAGAGCAAATGACATTCAACCCACCTTCACTGGACCTCTGAAACTGCACATACAACATGCAGGACTGTATGACTGTTCTTGAAAATAAGACAAAGAAGTCAGAAGACCAGACCTATGAGGAATCCATGAATATTGGAAAGCAGATGCAATCAAACTGAAGGGAGAAATGTGGGCCAGGGTGTGCGGGGAGAGCACTGGTGTGAGCTGCAGCCAGATGGAGGAAGCAGCTGGGGCCTGGGCATTGGATAAGATCATCATTTGGAGTTCAGCAGCAAGGAACAGAAATGTATGTTGAGTTCTGTTCATGTCCTGCGTTGGATCACAAAACCTAAGCAGAAAGTCTGTATCCAATTGCAAACAATGAAAGTGAACACCTGAACTGAGGGGACATCACCCAAGATCATGAAAACAGCCACTTCCCAGGGACATATCTTACCACACCCCCTTTTCACTAAAAACAGTGTTAATTTTCACTGACTGTCAAAGTTTAAATAGAATTTTAACCATAAGATTATATGAATTTCTATTGAGACTTGAAAATTAGTTCAATTCAGTTCAGTTCTCTTTAAATGTTGCCTCCATGGTTTATGGCACACTGATTGTATAAGACACTCTGGAATTATACTGGTCCTCTGAAACACGGGTCTTATTTATTTAATTTTGGTAGGCTTCATTGCATGTGATGAGGTATGATTTAATGGAAAGAGCCAGGAATCACGGGAGACCTGCCATTAACTGTGATCTTAAGCAGGTCACTTAATTTCTTTTGACTCCAACTTTCCATCTTTAAAATAATTAAGTATGATTAGATGACCCCCTAAGGCTCCTTCCACCACTGACGTTATATGGTTTTTATAATCTAAATGGAGGCAAAGCCATATTATATTTATAGCTTATTGGCAGAAATATTTATATTATATTTGCAACTTATTGGCAGGAACTAATTAATTTACAATGTGAAGTTAAAAGATGACTTACTTTGCTGCCAATGACCTTGAACTGTGATAATGCAGAACACTAAAAAATGAGTCTCAGGGAGAGAATTTTAAGTGAATTAAACTCTGAGAAACAAAAGATTAGGAGATTAGAGAAATCTAGAAACCAATTTAAATGAGTTTTCAAAACTAATATCATTCTAAGGACAAACTTAAACCTGAAAAGTATCTTTCAAAAGAAGAAATTTGAATGAAACTTCTAGGTCAAGTAAAATAAAACAAAAATTAAATTTTGGAACAAAAGTCAGAGTGGTTCTATCAGTTTAAGCAATGTTGGTTCCAAGTAACAGAAGAAAAAAACCCTACTCAAACAACAGAAGAAATTTATTGCATATGTAACTGTAAATTCTGCTGTATTGAGAGGGCTTCAGTCATGACCAATATCTGGTTGAATTTTTAGGTAGCTCACTTGGATCTGTTTCCTTCCATCTTAGATTGGCTTCCATCAGGATAGCAAAATAGCTACAGCAGTTTTAGGTATTTGCATATATCACACACATCATGCTACCTGGAGCCAGAGAGAGACCTTTTTTTTTTTTTTTGTCCACCATGGTATAAACACCTGAATTTCACTCAGGATCAACATGAACCAATCACCAAAGTCAAACTAATGCCATGTTCTGATTGACTTTAATCTAAATGACTGTTCCTTTCTCAACCATCAGGATAAGATTAACAGATGATGGACAGCTGGCAGAGTCCATGCCTAGAACAGGAAGTGGGGTCAATTCCATTCCAACCACATGCCCACTGCACAGTGGGAGAAGACTGATTCCCAATGGAAACCTGGTTGCTCTTAGGAAGGGCAGAGGCAGGAATGGATACTTGGTAGGCCACCAACAAATGTCTGTTTCCACGTCGAACATGTATTTCTGCACCAACCATAGAAAAAATAAGAACCTTTTCATCTCAAGATTTTGTCCTGAGATATAGACCAACAATAGGCACAGAAGTTTTTTTTTAAAAAAGGTAGAATTTGAGTCCCAACAAACAGGTTGAAATCTCAGTTCATGACAGCTATGTGACCCTGTCCTCCATTTATGTTATGACTACAATAATAACATTTACGCCATGGAGATTTATTTTGTGAGAATCACATGAGAGTTTGTATGTAGAATGTTTTCAGAGTCAGCAGTCGACATTTCAGTGGACTGATAAAACAGATGGAGATAAAAATCGTTCTGAAAAAAACCTTCAAATGAGAGTTAAATAAGAAAAGTGATTCTCGGTAGTAATTATGTCAGTAAAAAAAACAAACAAAAAAAACAAAAATCCAATGACACAAAGAACTACACTTAAACAATTACTGTGTTTAATTCCAGAGAACTGA